CTCCTCATTATTTGTGCTAGAAGTCCCTATATTTAATTTCTTCCCTGCTATCCCAAGTATGGCTTCTGTCTCAGCGACTCATCACCTTGGTAGCTACTGGATTGCTCCAGGGTTACCGCCACCTACCTGTAAACATGTCAAAGCCCTCAGCGGCCTGGAGCAGATCCCAGTTATTCTTAGAAGAAAAGAGAGCTTGCAGGCTGTTCCTCCTATACATCAATTCCCTGTGCTTGTTACAGAGTGAGCTGTTTGATTTTAATTCCCACAGAGAAAGGAAGAAGTAGGCAGGAAATATTTATCTTTGTTTGAAAATGTTTGAACAACCACTCTGTGCTAACTGAAGTCTGAATCTGGGTCACTGGTGTAAGCACTAAATGAAAGCTGTGAGTATCCTTACTTGCAGAGTAGAACTCACAAAAAGTATTGTCTTAACCACTGTACATTATGGTCAATGTTATAGTACGTATTGTGAACTTCAAATGTTCTGTAGAAATTATGATTATAACCAAATTATTCTGCCATATACCAGTTTGGCATATAAAATTAGGTCCTAACATTTTAAAAATATGAAAGTTTAAAAGTTGCATGGAGTCATAACATTTTACTTAGTAATGTCGAACACAGTGCCTCGTACCATTAATTCATGCTAAATGGTTAAAGTGAAGAAAGGCAGAAATAAAGGCAGAAATAAAAAATTAAATCAGGTCTCAGTGTCCCTTATCTTCATGGAGATTTCTCTCTTCCTCTGAATGATAAATCCATTACCCTAGGGGGTTACTTAATTATGGGGTCCGTGCTGGATTTCATCACTTCATCATTGAGGGGAGAATACCAAAAAGTTCCCTCATCCTACACGTCCTGTGCTCCTTAGGGGATGGTATCCAGCCCCAGGGCATTGCTGCCAGTCTGGCATCTGGTTATCTCCCTTTCTACTCAAATAAGCTACTTCACCCCCTAGTTCCACCAGACTGGTTATATGCTTTTTAAAGATAAATGCTAACAAAGTGGCATGGGTATTT